AGTTGTAATAATTGTTGTAGTAGTAGTAGCAGCTAAACCAAACTTTTATTTTGACGGGTTGACTATAACACTAATAGCCTATTTTAGGCAAACTTGGTTCAAAAGCCTACTCAAATGTCTCCATTTTTGTTATCCTAATCTTAGCCTACGTGACAGTATCTTAATCTTGGCATATGTGACAGTAATTTCCATTAGTTTTCATTTACAGTGCAGTGCAAATGAAGGCATAAAACATTAATTTCATTTATCTTTTAATCAAATGAGAGTTAAAGTATTTTGGCAGGCAAAGGGGTTTACTATTAAAATTAAAACATGGAAGGAATAGCGTATTGCGTGATTATTCTTTTAAACAAAAGTTGTAATAATTGTTGTAGTAGCAGTAGTAGCTAAACCGAACTTTTATTTTGACGGGTTGCCACGAGGACCTTTTAAGTTTCTGTAGCTTATGTATATGATATGACGATAGTTTTACTCAAATAAAACGGTTTAAAACATGGAAGAAATAGCGTATTGTGCGATTATTCTTTTAAACTAAAGTTGTAATAATAATAGTAGTAGTAGTAGTAGTAGCTAAACCGCACTTTTATTTTGACGGGTTGCCATGAGTACCTTTTAAGTTTCTGTAGCCTATATATATGATATGACGATAGTTTTACTCAAATGAAACGGTCAAATGCTCATGAAGTAACTCTCAGAGCAGTTCTGGAGATGTTGTTCATGTATTTATGTCCTCATTAGTGGGACGGCAGACGTTAATAGATGCTGAAAACACCGCGAGTGTCACGCACATCAGTATGTGTGTAGTAAACAAAACCACGCGTTTGTGCCATTCACATATACAGAGACACGCAGAACATGCAGGATTCATATTTAAATAGTCTTTTTGCGACTTAATATTTACAGATGCTAGTCCATAGCGCGAGTCGATTTAAGTGTACTGACTAGGGTTGCCAACCGTTCTGTATAATACGGAATCGTCCTTTATTTAAGGCATCAAAGAAGCGTTCCGTATGAAAGCTATACGTCCCGTAAATATGTCCCGTATTTAAGGCATATGCCATATGAACACCTAGACCATACGAATAACAAACTCTAAATTGAGAATTAATCATTCTTTTTTGACAAGTGTTTGATTTGTGAACATAACCGTTCCAGGGAGGCTTTAAGACCATGCGGAATCCTCTGCCGCTTCACAGCGAGCGGGACTCTAACTGAGTTGGGTTTTTTAACGACCGCGTTTCGACTTCAGCAAATCAGTTTGAGCGAATGCAAACAACGTGATTCCAACATCCAGCCACGCAAGAAAACAACTTTGACAAATTCTGTGACATTCCGCATTATACAGTAAATTCCATTTATATGACTGGATTCCGCGATTCCATCCGTGTTTTCCCCATCGTGGAGGTATTGAGGTGTTTTGCAACTTCAGTGTAGTAGATTGTGATTTATTGCAACTTCAGCAACGTCTGCTGCTGCCTTAGAGAGACAACTGATGCGTGATCACTGAAGCAGCTACAGTTAGCATGTGCTTTCGTTGTGAGAGTGCAAAACTTTCAGTGCCTTTAGCCTTCCACGCTGATTGGTCGGACTTGTGACTCCCAACAAATCAGATGGGCGGTGGGCGGAGATTTCCTTAGGCTACAGAGTGGTGAGTTCCGACCATAGACTGTAAAAAAAGATGGACGACGCGTCTCCTATTCCTTCCACTATAAAAAAGTGAAGCCAAAGCATCTCAGTATGGCCGCTGCCATCTTGAGTAAATGACGTCATTTGGAGCCCGAG